TGCTAATATTAATAGTATGAGGCAGAATCTTCAATAATGTTATAGTATTATGAATGATACCCAGGGATTTTACACCCCTACAAAATTACCTACCATTCTTGTGAATATTTTTCTAACATAAAATTTTGATTGTGGTTTAATTATAGATGAGAAGTGACACAACATCTAAAACTATAAATTATCCCAATCAGGTGTTTTGTTTCCCACCAAATATGTGTATATTGACACACACATATATATATATATATATATATATAAAATTATTAATTAACAGTTCCTAAGATTGTCATCATATGACTTACATAAACTATTAAACCACTACTAAGAATGATAATTGAGACAGGAATATTAGTATCTCCGTAGGTGCCATTATTACCAACCCCACACTGAAGAGACTATACTCTTTTCTCCTCTCCTTGGAACTCAGGTCAAGCTTATTAAAGGAAATTTTGTTCTGCACAGGCTGTCTTAAATAAGACAACAGGGAGAGATGTTCCAATAATACAGTGGGCCCATAACTTTAAACTCAGAACAGAGGACTTGGGTCCTGAAACAATTACTTCTTTGAATTTCAGGTCCTACATCTGTATTAGGAAAATAAAGCATTAGTTCCCAGTGTGGCTATATGTCTAAATGTGATAATGCGTGTTAAGAATCTTGCATATGCTTACACGGTTTTTGAAATATTAAGATCTCTGTTCTGAATAGCTGATGTGTTCCACGTAGGTGGCTTATAGCAGCTATTTAATATTTATTGGAATTTTCACTGTCTTTAGACTTAGCATAAGATAGAAACTTCTTTAAGCATCACATCAAAACACATGTTGAAAAGACACATTGCCTGTATGAAAAAGAATGAGCCTGACTTGAGTGGATAATTCTTAGCACTAGCTATTAAGGAATTAATGTCAGCCATAAGAAGGAAAGAAACATCACTGTCCTGGCGTTGGGGGGAGATGATAAAGAACAGAAAGTTCTAGCTGTAGAGATTTAACTGATTTTCATAGCCCTGCACAATGGTAAGTGCAGCTCAAAGTAATGTATCTGATGAGTTATCCATGGGGAAATGAGACAGATCAATGAATCATTTTATTAATTATCTTGTGAGGTTTTACATTTATAGTTGCTCTGATTACTTAACAAGTGACTTTTAGACACCACATAATATGTCAATGGTCTCATCTGTGCATTTACTGAATGCTTATCTGATAACTAGTAGGTATTGAATATCACTATTCTGAGTGTTTGGTAAGTATTGACCCATTTAGTCTTCAAAATCTCATTTAATCTCATGAGGTAGCTACTATAGAGGAAGAAAATGAGAAGGCAGAATTTCAGTAACATGCCTAAAGTCACACAAGTAGTAAATAATAGAAGTTTCGGAGCCACGGACTGTGATCTTGAACATTAACTTCCCATGACGGCCCTGTGATGGCACAAACCCCTCAACCACAGAACTTCTAGGTCTCTCATGTGCATGCATATCACTTAAAGGTCTTGCTACGAAGCAGATTCCAACTCACGAGGTGTGGGTTAGAGGCTAGGCATCGATAGTTCTAACAAGATCTCAAGTGGTACCAATACTGTGTGGTCCATGGACTACACTTTCAATATCAAGGCACCAGACAGACCACTACATTTGCACACTATTTTACCAGGAGCCCAAACAATGTCTAGGGCAAGGTGGTTCATGCTTAATTTAGTGCTAACAACTAAAATATCTAGATATCTTAGTCCAACAGAATTGCCATGAGATGACACTTCCTGGGCCTCGTTAATGAACCTAAAGTGATCTAATGTTCAGAAACTGACATGATTTTGATTATAAGGTGTAGTTTAGCATATAATGATTAACAATGATGTACAATCTATACTGCACTTATTTTTTAAAATATTTTATTTATTTTTTTGTGTGTGTGAGAGAGAAGAGCACAAGCAGGGAGAGCGGCAGGCAGAGGGAGAGGGAGAAGCAGGCTCCGCGCTGAGCAGGGAGCCTGATGCGGGACTCCATTCCAGGACCCTGGGATCATGACCCGAGCCGAAGGCAGATGCTTAACCAACTGAATCACCCAGGCATCCCTATACTGCACTTTTTAAATACTGGGTTATCTGATCTTCGCAGTAGGTCTGAGCGGCAATGGAGTATGACAAATATATTTGAGGAAACAGACCCAAGGTGAGTGACGACTGCCATGAGTGTCTTTTGCAGCCGTGACCACACACAGATGCCCAAATTTTTCTCTTCCATCAGCTGACCTTGATGTCTGGCTATGTTCCATTAACTGATTAAAAGTAAATAGATGCAAAACGATAGTACTGAAACAGGCAATATGCAGCCACATTCTGATTTTGCTTTAAAAACACAGATAACCAAGGCCGAAGGAATTTGGAAGCATTAAGAGTAATTTTCTATGGTGATTACATTAATATAAACCTATCTAAATACAAACAATAAAGCTGCATATATAATTTTATTATGCTGCTAAAATCAAAATTGAAGATGTTTTCTTAGTCCTATTTACTTCCAGGCCCCGATATCACGTATGAGAAGATACTGGTATCATTTTCTTCCCAGACTCTCTAGGTTTGGTGTGGCCGGCAGGAAACTGGTTATGTCACCTCTTGTGTTTATTTTAATGGAACTAAATATGTTGGAATTACTTTTTTCATAAGCAGATGCTAAAAGTTTTATGAAACTATACTCAGAATTCAGAGTTGATCTCTAAATGTCAAATGGATTTACTATCCTTAGAAGACTAATATTTTCACAGAAAAAAAAAAGTCCCTTTGAGTTACTGTGGAGACAAAGTAATGAAGATAAATCAAGAAATGCTGTCAGTCACTAGGAAAGGAAAATTACCAAAGTCTCTATATTTAAAAACACTTGAGAATAGACAGCAAAGATTCTTATCAAGCCTGGGCCTTCTAAACATATTTGTGATTTATAATGTTGTTTTTCCCCTCATTGACAAAGGAAAGAATACCTCCATTCTTGACAGAAATGGCTACGTGGCACCTCTTTATCACTATGTTCACTCGTCAAGCTTGAACTGACTTTAAGAATAATGAGCATACTTTGGAAAATTGTGTTTTCTTCAAGTGTACACTTAACTCTAAAACTAAAGATTGGGTTTATTCTGAGTTCATACCGATACTACTGAATTATCAAGTTGTCCTGAACACGCTGTGCAGAGGTTCTCCATGGGAGTGCTCCAAGCATGCTAAGCAACAATCCCTATGACCCTGTCATTGATGATAGTGGGTGGGGTGGGGAGGTGTCTGGAAAGTGTTAATGATGGGTGTACTCGGATGACCATCCTCCCCCACCCCCAGCATTATTTATTTCATATTAAAGGGACCATCACAATATCTGGCTAATAAAACAAAGAGTTCAGATAGAGAATCATCTGTGACTAATCATTTCCTTCCTTAATTTTTGCTGGTGTCTTTCAGAAGATGTGAGTTGCACAGAAATGAACAGATAATAGAGCTTTTGCCTACCTCTGTCACTTTCATTGGCTGCTCTTTTGGGACACTTGTATTTCTGTCCTCAGTTCCTCAAAGGCACAAAGCTCCTCCCAGCTCCTGGCCTTTAGACTCACGCATGGTTCCCTCTGCCCACAGTTAATATCCCCAGCTTTTCTCTTGGGTTTCCTTGTGATTTATACTTATGATCATAGCGATGCATTTCCTTAGCATTGCTTGCAGTGACTGATTCGTCTACGTCCTCATTTAACGTGTCTTTTCTACTAAACTAAGAAGCAATCTGAGAGTAGGGATTTTGTTTTTGCACCATTGTATCCTTATCACGATTCACATTGTTTGGCGCCTAGTAGTGCAGTAACTATTTGTTGGGAAGTAGAGGAAATTCCTGAGGCACTGCTCATGCTTACGTCCTTTACAAGGGCTAGTGAAGAATGCCTTGTGCCTATGGAGGTAATTAATGTGTTAAAATTTTTTTAAGGCAAAAGTAGAATCTTTTGTAATAATAAACTGAGAATTGTCCAGATGTGATTATGAAGAAATGAAATCCTAAATGAAATCCTAAATCCTTAATGAGAACATACTTACGATTTAGTGAATATTTGAATGTCTTGGATAAAGTATTTATGAGCTATGATTTGCAAGGATTCATGGACCAGTCTCAGGGGAAGGACTCTTGGCTTCCCCCTACATATACTTTAGAATAGTAAGAGTACTATGGGTAGCTAGTTTTAAACCACTTTTGTAGGTCACTCAGAAATTGCATCTTGTAGAAAGTCATGATCTTTTAGAGTATTATTAAATGTTTGGTTATCCACTGCTGTAGTTTGGAGTGTTCAGCATCGTTTTAAAATTCCTACAGTGTGTTAGCTGTTACCTCTGTTCATCCTGTTGACCACAGAAGTATTGCTGAATAGATTTCTAATATTTCAATAATAAGAAGTGAAAAACAGAGTACTTTCATTTAACCCTTTAATTTTTATTTATTTATTTTTTTATTTTCCAAGAGCTTAAGCTTATCACCCCTAAAGCTGTAGTACACTGGGATATAGGAGTAAAAAGCAACATCCAGGTAAGATATCACCATACAGTCTTCTCTTCACCAAATAAATACTAAATTGCGGTTCAAACTATACTTAGAAGTACAGTTTGTCAAAAAATGTAATTTTTGAGAAAGCAGGTTCAAATTTTTCATCTAGGGATAGCCTGGAAATATGCTATGGATGGAACCTTTTACTAAGTTATGAGAATTAAGTGCCCAGGAGGAAATGTATTATTACTTCCTAAAAATGTCTGAATGAAAGCTGTTGCTTTGAATAATGTATTCTCCGTAGGTAATTGTTTAGACATTAGAAATTAGCTCCCACAGACTTGCACTTACGCATCTTTGTTTTACTCTCCTTTCTAAGGAAGACAAACCGGGAAAGAAATAAGGTATTCCACCCCCCAAAGGCCAACAATCCTTAAAAAAAAAAAAAAAAAAAATCCATTCTGCAAAAACTATTTTTATGGTTCCTGTGAACTTAGGACAAGGAATATATCCAGGAACATGGCTTCAAAACATGGCTTCAAAATCTAAGCTATGTTCCATTGTTTGCAGTTACCTTGGATTTTAACTAGATGTACAAGTTGACTTCTGACCATGGGGCATCCTCTCATGCATGGATTTATGGGTTGTTGAGGCCATGGCAGATAACCAGTTCCACAGAAGCAACTTCATGTTCTTCTGAGGAAGATCCATAGCACTGTGGAACAAGGAATATAAATGAGCGACGCCACAGGAGACTGCGAATGGGGTTATCAAAATACGACCCTCAAAAATGAACTCTGAAGGTGGAGAATCCACAAGGAAAAATATTTTTCAGTGGTGTCACTACTTTGTTAAGAGCACTGATACGCATTCCATAGCCATGGCATGTGCTGCTTAAGCATGTAACAGCCAAAATATCTGTGGATTCCAAGCTCATTAAGTAGATGGATGAATAAATTTGTTACCAAAAAAAATTAATAAATTCAGCATTGCCAGAATTAAAAAAAGAAAAAGAAATCTCAAGTGTCTAGAGGGGAAAACGCCAAATGAAACTATTCAAACTGCAGTGATAAAATATTTGGCCTTTAATCATTTCCAATTAAATTATATTTGAAAGCTCCCCTTCCCCCACCCGTAGTCATGAAGAAACACACCAGTTTTTAAACATTTTATAATGGCCCAAGAAGGGGTTTACATAGGTATGTTTATTAATGGAACTCACTTTTTAATTAGGTTTTTTTTTTTTTTTAATAAGTTGCTAATCCATTTTAGCCTCAAATCAGTTCCATCCCATTCTCCATCCCTCTGCTGAGGTCTAACAGTTCAGGTCCTCCACCCTGAGGAGAGCTTCCTGTGGCACTTCGGGAATGATCGGTTCGGGGCTTCCGTAAGTGCAGTTTATAAAGTTCTCTCTCTCTTCCTCAGCCCCCACTAGGAATGATAAAGGCATTTCCAGAGGTAAACGATCCTCTTCCTCGCTCTGCTCCTCTTCCTCCGCCCCCTCCTCTTCCTCTTCTGTGTCCTCCTCTTCCTCTTCCTCTTCGTCCTCCTCCCCCTCCTCCACACAGTCAGCCTCTTCGACCTCCTCTTCATCTCCGGCCTCCTCCTCCTCCTCGCTCTCCTCCTCCTCCTCGCTCTCCTCCTCCTCCTCCTCCTCGCTCTCCTCCTCCTCCTCCCCGTCGCACTCCCCGTCGCACTCCTCGTCACCCTCCTCCTCCTCACACTCCTCCGCCTCCTTTTTCTCCTCGTCGTCGTCCTCCTCCTCCCCGAGCTGTGCGGCGGGAGACTGGTTTTCCTTGTCGGGGTCGGGACTGAAGACCCGAGAGGGAAGCCGCACGAAGCTGTACGAAGTTGCCTGCAGCTCCGCGTCTTCCGCGCCGCCGCTGGGGGGCGCGTCGTTCCCGGAGGAGCCCTCGGGGGAGGCCGCGCCGCGCGCCTGGGCCTGCTGCGCCCGCAGCGCCTCCTGCTGGCGCTCCAGCTTCTCTTGCTGCCGCATGTCCTCGTAGATCTGGTTCATGATGAACTGGGTGGTGTTCCGCGGCGCCCGCATGCCGGGGGCCCGCCACCCGTACAGGTTGACTGGCCGTAGCAGCGTGCTCAGATCCACGGGCGGGCTCCTCGGGAAGGAGCGGCGAGGGTGGCGGCGCAGGCCGCGGCCCCTGCGGCCCCAGCGCTTCTTCCTGCCGGGGGGTCTCGCCCAGCCGGGGTTCCAGGGCCCGCGCCAGCAGGGGCAGCAGCAGAGGCAGAGCGGGTGCAGACCAAACACCCGGATCACTTGCACTCGGCCAGGAGGCTTCCAGAATCCCGCTGGAGGTGGGCGCCAGGGCCCTCCCCAGCGCCCCCAGTTAGAGTACACGGCCCAATAGGGCCGTCGGGGAGGTTGGAACCAAGGGCCCGGACCGTGCTGTTGCTTCGGCTGTTTCCTGGGGGGCTCGTACTCAGACTTCGGACCATAGCGGTGGCGCCGCTTGTATATCGGAGCGCCCCTGCGCCTTCGGTGGCAGGTAGACCAGGTACGTAACGGGGCAGAGGACGCCCAGCCGCCGCCCAGGTTGAGAGGGTCCTCCCTTTTGTCGAGGGTCTGGGTCATCGTTCAGGGAGCTCCCGGAGGTGTAAATGGAAGCGTCCTAGAAGCTGTCGTCGGCTGGCCAGACCCGAAGCTCTGCAGAGCCTCGTCAGTCGGCGCAGCCCCACGTGCCTGCCACCGGGATGGCCTTTCTCTCCAGGAGGAGCCCTCTTCTCCGCTTGCTCGATCGCTCTTCCTTCGTAATCTCTTGTCCTTCGCACCCAAGCTGTCTTGCCCAGGTGGGTTGGGCGGGACTGGGGCTGGGTAAGGATGGTGAGGGAGGAAGGTGTTGGTGGGCGACGCACGGTGAGACCCGCTCCCGGGTCCCACACACACCCGCCTCGGCCGAGGCGCGGGCTGGGAACCGGGGAGGCAGGGGTTGCGCGTTACCTTGCTGCTCCCTCCCAACCCAGGCGCTTCACCGTCGCCGTCCTGGCGGGACTGAGGTGGCGCGGGCAGCGGCAGCCTTTAAATAGCGGCCGGAGCCCCCCGCGTGCCCACCGCGTCCTTGGTTGCCCAGGGCGATAGCCAATTGGGGTCGAGGTCTTTCTCCCTGTGCGAGGAGGGGGGTTCCGGGTGGAAGGAGGTGTCCCGTGAATGTTCGCAGGGGGCTTGTGACGCAGTTCTTGAAAGAGGGAGAGTGGGCCCCAGGCTGGGGTTGTGCTTCCCAACTCAGACGACGTTTGGGGCAGTTAATTTGAAACCTTTATACCACCTGGAGGTGCGGGGATAAAGATGATGGACCTTTAGCTGAACCCCTTGGAAGGGGGGGAGAACTTGTATGTTGGAAAACGTAAATCCTACACCTTTGGAGGTCGAGAGGACAGAGGAAAAGGCCGTAGAGTCAGACAGAAAACCGGGCCCCGCTCCTTACCTTATGGCCTGTGCACACTCTTCAAACTCCTGGGGGTTGTAGTGCATCATCCATGAAACACGACCACGAACATTCATCGCATGTGCTTGCAGCAAGCATGGGCTCATGGCACGTACCTCTGTGAGGTAGGCTTTGTTATGAAGCCTCACAGATCAGGAATTGAGAGGTTAATACACCCAAGGTCGTGGGGACAAGGAACTTTGGGGCTAGTATTTAAACCTAAGCCTCTTTGGCCCCCCGAACCAAATTCTTAACCACGTGGCTGCACTATACTGCCCATCTAGCTTAAGTAGGACTCTTGTAACGAGTACACGAAATCCTTTGGGAAAACACTTTGCTAACTGTAACACAGCATGCAAATGTCCGCTGATTAAATAAATAGTACCAGGATGTATACAGTGGGTTTATTCTTGAGAATACAAATATGCCAATTATGTCTTTTGGTAGGTTCCTTTGTCTATCAGACAACACATACACTGGGAGTCTTTGTAACATGGTTAAGAATATGGGCTTTGATTTAAATTAGCATGAACCTACTCTGAGTGATACTATAATGGTGGATATATGTCATTATGCATTCATCCAAATCCATAAAATGTACAATATCAAGCCTGAACCCTAATGTGATCTGTAGACTTTGATGATGATGTGTCAGTGCAGGTTCATCTGTTGAAAGGAAAGTACCATTCTGGGGCGGGGGCGATGTTGGTAATGGGGGAAGCTCTGCATGAGTGGGGAGAAGGCCTACATGGAAAATCTCTCTATATGGGAAACCTACTCCATTTTAGTGTGAACCTAAAACAGCTCACAAAAAATTGAAATCTGTTAATGAAAATGTGCTTCAACTTGAATTCAGCAATGAACCTCTGTAAACCTCAGGTTCCTAACCCACATCAAGAGTATAGTTATAATGCCTATTCCATAGGGTTACGTTAAAGGTTAAGTAAGCAGCTAGCGCAGGTACGCCACCACGAGTGCACAGTAGCTGTGAGCTATCATCACTGTCATACTTAAATACTGCAGGACTTTAAAAGAACTTGGTACAGGGCGCCTGGGTGGCTCAGTTGTTAAGCGTCTGCCTTCGGCTTAGGTCATGATCCCAGACTCCTGGGATCGAGTCCCACATCGGGCTCCCTCCTCGGGGGGAAGCCTGCTTCTCCCTCTACCACTCCGCCTGCTTATGTTCCTGCTCTCGCTATCTCTGTCTCTGTCAAATAAATAAATAAAATCTTTAAAAAAATTAAAAAAATAGTATTAAAAAAAAGAAGTTGGTACAGTGTATGTAAAGATAACCAACCCTGTGCGTGATGCCAAAATCAGTATCCCTGCCCTTGTGCCCTTTTCTTTTCCACTTTATTAGAAACATCAAGGATGAGCTACCAGGCTCGATCCTAGAGAAAACCATCCCAGAGTATGTCCTTTTATTGCTTTCCTGTGGTGAGTGGAATTGTGGAAAATGGAACATTGCCCACGGGGAACCCGAGTCTGCGCAAGCCTCCTGTACATGACAGAGAAGTAAATGGGGGAAAGCCCCGAAGCCTGCAAAGGTCATTTATGCCTTCCCGGTTGAAAATTGAGAACAGGGTGGGGATCCTGGATCCGGACTCCAACCCTTGCCGTGGGACCTGTAGATGCCACAGGCTTCATTCAATTTTGTTTGCTCTGTGGTTTGCTGGAGACAAGCTTGCTTGACTCAAAGTGCAGAATGCTGACACTTTTAGCCCCCAGTGTCCCTTTCTGGGTGGAGAATCACACATTTGGTGGTTACTCTCCCCTTACTCTGCTTAATTCAAATTGGAATGCTGATACCACAGATTTATTTTTCTGAGGACATATGTGGTATACATACTGGGTTTTAATTGGGAACGTTGGAAATTGACCATGTTGCTGTAGTGGAATTCTCATCAATTTCTTCCTTGTTTTAAAGGGATTAACTCACAGATAATTAAAAACATTGTTTTTCCCATGGTGACATACATTTCATATTAATTGTCCTTATTAAAGAACATTAACAAGGTATTGTTCTTGCTCCATCCTTACTCTTCTTAAGAGAAGCAGAAAATTATGATTTATGACTTTTAGGTTTTTTTTTCCAGTAGATTGGCATTGTAATTCAAATTGTTCATGTACTGGCAAATCACCCAAGAAAATTACCACCAGAGCATGTTAAACATAACTTTCAGAAATGCAATTAAGGAATTTTTAAAGACCTCTTTTAATTGGCCCATATTCTTTAAATGCTGCAAAATGAAGTGTTTTAGTATGTAGTATTAGTTTTCTACTGCTGTGTAACAAATTCTCACATACTTACTTAAAATAACATGCATTTATTATTAGAGTTTTCAGGTGTTAGGGGGTCCAGGAATAGCTTAGTCAGGTCTTCTACTCAGGGTCTCACCAGGCTAAGGTCAAGGCACCTGGCTGGCTTGGGTTCTCATCTGGGGTGCTCCATTTGGGAAAATGTTATGGGCTGAATTTATTTCCTCATGGCTATATAAGTGAGGGCCCTGCCTTTTAGCTGTCTGTTGGCTGGGGGATGCCTTTAGATTTGGAGGCCACCCATAGGTCCTGGAGGTCAACAGCCATTCTTAGAGACTGTTCTCACTTCCTTGCCATGGGCTTTCTCAGTAGGGCTGCTCATTCCATCAAGTCAGCAAAGCAGATCTCCTTAGTTCTTCGTAGCACAATGAAAATACACACACACACACACACACACACACGTGCGTATGTATCATAGTATGGGCTTGACATGGACATTTGTGACATCCACCATCTTTGTCATATTCTTTTGGTTAGAAGCAAGATCCAGGTCTTAGCAGCATTCAAGGGGAGAAGGTTACACAAAGACATGAATACCAAGAAGTAGGAAGTTCACTGGGGGTTTACCTTAGAGTCTGTTCACCACACAGACCAACTTGAGTTAAATATGTCCTTCATAGTAACTAGTTATGACTTTATTTGGGAGATTTTAATAGCATGCAGCATTTTGAAATTCCATTAAATGCTGTATGACAGCATAGGTTATGCTATGCTTTATGTTACATAGGACATTAAACTGTTAAGTTGAAAACACACTACTATCTTGGTGTTATTTTTTGTGCATTTGTGTGAATTGAAAAGGATGAATTCTAACACTTGATGGCAGTAGTAACTCATCCAAAATTCAGTCAGCAAGAGCACCCTATACAAAACAAACTATGAGAAGATAGGTACTTCATTTTTATATTTATCAAGAATGGCATATTTAAACTATTCCAGGTTGCCAATGTTAATTACCCTTTATTCTGGTGCAGTGTAATTGGGTATATGTATTAGATTTTAGCGTTTTTCAATTGGCTTTTGGAAAGCAAAGCTCAGCTAATTAAACTTATAAATAAAAGTTTTTAGAGAGAAGTTGGATATACCTGAGAAATTTGGTCAGATAAATAAAATTCAACAAATATTTTTTAGATCCATCTTTGTAACCAGTTAAGTTCTATGGGATATGAAAAAATAAATAATGAAACGCATTTTATACACTCTCAAAAACTTGCTTTTTGCAACTCTGAAGAGATCCACGTACAGTCATTTGAAACCAAAAAGGTAGGCGCCATCTGTTGGTCATAGAAGCTAAATACAAGGTATTAAACCTTCCCAGCTTTTCATAAAGTGAGATGAAATTAACTCATTCCTTTCTCTTGATAATTTGGGAAGTTGTGGGATTAATTGGAAAATGGGTAAGGCGTGTTGTGCATCAGGGAATAACATTGGTACACTTCTCCATTAATGAATTCTCATGTCACTTAAGTAAATTATGAAGAGAAATTTAATTCTGTGAAGAGGTAATCACAAAGACAGGTTCTGCAGATTTAAGGAGGATGGGAATGTTGCACCCGTAATAGTACTATGTGTAGGTATTATTCACTATCACCCTTAGAAAATATTATTAACCTTTTAATTACTCAGGATTTTCAGAGAATTAACCTAACATATTGTAGTCATGACATTTGAAAAACATGTCGTTAGTAATGATTAATTAGGAATTGTTAGCATGGAAATGTTTATTTATAAGTAATTTTAAAGTACACTATATTATGGGCAACAGAATGAAGTGCCTCCCCCCCCATGAAAAATGACCTGTAATATTTGAGAAAAATAAACGTGTACCAGTTGAATAAAGAAAAAAAAATTATTAAAAAGTACAGCATTTAATCAGGGATCAGTTTTAGAATTAAGAGCTTTCAATTAAGAATGTGAGGTGTTGGAAATGGCCCCGGAAATAGGATGCATACAGAAGGAATACTAAAATGTTGTCGTCACATTTTCAGGGCTATGGTAGTACTTTGTCCTTCTAGAAATCATGGTGAATTAAATCTGCAGAGAAGCCTTGTGAGTAGGAAGCCATAACGCCTGGGAACATGTCAGTTGGCCCTATATGTTCGCATAATAATGCCCTTTTTCCTCCCGGTATTTTATTTCACTTCACTTTTTGCTACAACTCCTCCCCCCCTCAATTTTGTAATAACAGTGTTGAGGGAAGGCTGTGAGGACAGAGTGGTTTCCAGACTATTGGCGG